TTGACGCCACACCTTAGGCTCCAAGCCCTATACGACCCTAGTCCTAATAATACCCAAAGACGAGACCCACTACCCAGCAGTACTTATTGCACAGGTGATTTCGTGACTTACAGATCATCTTCACAGGCAAGATTTCATTGCATGTTGCAATGTCCAGAAATCATTTTGACAAGGGGATGAAGCAGGGCTTAGGCAGGAGTTTCACAGAATTAGGCAAAGCTCTTTGGAGATTCCCTTTATAAGGATTACAGTTACAGCTTATTGGGGTCAACATTTGGAGACCCTTGACCCGTGTTTTTGAAAACCGCCACATAAGGGTCATAGGTGGACTTCGGACTTCAAGCAGACGTTGTCCAAGTGCCTTTGCAGAGCGTATGCCCGCAAACATGGAAAGAAAGATACGCTTGCATGGCTCCCTGACGAAAGCCATTGCAGTGCTCAAGTTCCGGGCTCAAGCTGCTTTTACTCTTTACATAGATGTTTTCGTAGAGCTGCCGTAGTTGCCGTTTAAAGCTCCCTGCAGACACCATGACCCAACAGCCAGTATTCCTGGCAGGTGCCGCGAAGGGCCGCTAGCATCTTCAAGTTTGTGCCGTTCTTCCTCCCAGAGTTCGACTCCAAGCAGGGCCTTGTAGTGTTGGGCTTTCGGGCTCCAGGGGCTAAGGATTGCGGTAGATACTGTACGCCCCAAACAGGGACCTGACTGCCCTGCCCAGGAGTTTGAGGCTGATTCCTCCGAGTCACCTCTAGTCTGGCCATGTAAGCCTACCCAGCCTGGTCAGCACTAAGTTGTAAGAAGGTTTTTCTTCAACCGCACTGGATCCGTTTTGGGTCCATGCAATAAAGATTGTAGTTCAGGGCATTTTCTGGCAGACCTTTCGTCACAGAAACTCCAATGACACCAGTAAGATGAAACAAGTAGAAGCTTATCTGCCAGTGCCGATTTTCCTTGACTCTCCGCACCCTTCTTGCCGAGGTTTCTGGGCAGGACACCGTTGCACGCGTGGACACGTGGCCAATCTTGCAGATGACAACCTCAAGCCCAGATGAGTAGTATTTTATACTATGGCACCCAATAGAGAGTAAGATTATATGCCCCTTTTGGATATAGCATTTTATACAAGGAAAATAATCTTACTAGGTTCAACCACCAAAAAACATTACTCAAATGATGTAAAATATGACTCTTCAAGCAAATCCTCTGGGTGCATCCAGGGTTAAGTATCATCATGTCGCTCTCTTACCCTAAGGGTCCAAGGACCCAAATAATGGGGTTTTAGGGCCCAAATACTACGGTATTATTGGTATTTGGGCCCCAAAACCCCATTATTTGGGTCCTTGGACCCTTAGGGTTACCCTCACAACGGAAGGAGCCTCCTCGGACGTACTTCGCGTTTGGTGTACGTCGCCGCGGTCTCAGACTGTCCCCAAAGAGTCCATGCAGCTATATAGTATATACTTAGGGCCCAAAGGGGTTCCCATATAACTACTTTAGGGCCCAAGTATATACTATATAGTTACATGGACCCTTTGGGGTCTAGATGGCCTTCGGGAGCTCAGGGGTCCTTTGATCTCGAGCTCAAGACACGAGGTTACCATGTACCTCAAGGATTGTCATGGGATGCCGATGGGACTGATGCGGATTGCTGCGACTAACATCACCCTCCAACAAATTGACCGGTGAGCAGGGATCAGAAAATCCTCATGATGATGATGATGATGATGATGATGATGCGTTTTCTGTTTGTACTTGAATGCTTCTAGCCTTTCCCAAACCTCCAAGTGGCTGCTTGAAGGCTTTACACCACGAAGTAAGTTACATCTCTCGACTACGCAGCCCGTAAGCCCTCAACCGTCATCTCCAAAACGCTACACAGCCTAAAGCCCTGCAAGCCACAGCCACAGCTGTGACCCCGATGACCCAAAGCTTAGGCCTAGTACCAAAAAAACCTTGCGTAATAGGTATAAGTCATAGAACTGTAGGTAAGTTGGTCTAACATAATCCTTATAAACCCCTAAGTAGCCCAAACTTCCATGTCCATTTCCTTTTCCTTTTCCATTTGATTCTCCATTATTAGGTAATTGGGGCCCTGAACCCTTAAAGCTAAAGCCCAAGCCCTAAACCCCAAACCCTTAGCCCTAAATCCTAAACCCTAAATTCCACACCCTTAGCCCTAAACCCTAAGCGCTAAATCCTAAACCCCAAACCCTTAGCCCTAAACCCTTATACCCAGGATCCCGAGTCCGTGGTGCTGGGTGATGTCAGCGCCTTGGCCGAGATGGACTTGCGGGGGAAGCCAGTGGCCGCTGCAAGGCAAGCACCTTTTAAGGGTACCTACGCGTTATATAGAGACAATGGAAAAGAAAATGGAAACTGTTACTATATTCTATTTGGATTTTATAGGGGTTATATAGGGATAATGGGAAAGAACATGGAAACTACTATAACGGATTATATAGGGTTTGAGGTTTGGGGGTTTGGGGTTTAGGCTGTTTAGGGTTTAGCCTTTGGGTTTTAGGGTCTGAGGTGTAGGGTTTAGGGTTTGGGTTGGGGGTTGGGGTTTAGGGTCTGAGGTTAAGGGTTTGGGGGTTGGGGTTTGGGGTTTAGGGTTTGGGGTTTAGGGTTTGAGGTTTAGAATTTAGGGTCTAGGGTTGTGCGTATGACTGTTGACTGGGCCATTGAATAACCAGCTTGTTATACGGAAGCCCAAGCTGTGGTTCAAAAGTAGTATCCTGATGGGGAACCAGCTAAGCCATTAAGCCCTGAGCCCTAAAGCCCACGTTAGGTCCTATGGTCACTTAGCTAAGTTTAACCCAACACGCTGCCAGCAAGTTGTGACCATAGGGAATTTCAGGGAATGGTGCAAACTTCGTTAGGGCCCCGCGCCCTTGATAGTCCTGGTTCATCTGCCATGGTTAGCGGGTAGGCGGAGAACCTCAATGATGTTGCAGGATGCATGCGCGCCCGCCATAATGTTGGGCTTTGTTGGAAGCCTGTGAAATGTTTTCAAGGATCTTCTTTACTGTCAAGTTCCGGGCTCGAAGCTAGGAATCCAGGAGTCTGAAGCTTCGCAATTGAGGTTCTACGGCTTCTTGGGAACAGGGCTAGTTTACTCGACCGACCAGGAGAAAAATGTTTCTCTTTGAGGGTGCTATTTGTAGGGGTTACAGAATGTCTTTGCAACGTGTTTGGGGGGGTTGCGGGGGTGTGGGGCCCCCCATGATCTACAAGATAGGGACCAACATGAATCACAATTCGTGCTCTTCTACTGTAAGTCCTTTACCATGCCTCTACATCATGCCTCTACATTCTGTAAACCCTCTCCTAGATTCTACCTGTAGCCCCAAATACCTACAGCTTTACGGGTTATGTTGTTTAAGGGGAAATTGCTATTGAGCTGGACTATACCCTGAACCCTAAGTAGTAGTTTCCATTTTCTTTTCCATTATCCCTATATAGCCCCAATATGACCCAAATATTCTATGTACCCAAGGGGGACTATAGGTAATTGGGGTTACTGGTACACTCTAAGCCTGCAGGTCCTGCCGCACACTCCTCTCGGAAGTCTTGGAGTTCGATCTCCTCCGTGCAGGGTCGCCCGGGGCCCAGAAACAGAAGCTAGGCTTCCATGAAGATTGCCCACGTCTTAGTTCTTTAGTGTGAATACCTGAAAGCATTTTAAAGCATCACCCTAAACTGCGATCAGAGGCTTCTGGGACTTAAGCCCTTGGGCATCCTGCCCCTGGCCATAGCAAGAGTTCTGACAAAAACCCTGGGTTCGGGAAGGCCATTTGGGTGAGAATTCAAGGGCCCCAAAAATCGGGGTTAAGGCTGTAGAGTTTATAGAGTTCAGGGGTTGGGAGTCCGGGTCAGAGAATACCAAGCAATGGGCGTGACCGATTTTTTTCCGACAGAACAGGCTTTTGCTTCACTGATGGGACATCATCCTTTTTGGAATCCGTTATGAGGGCAGTAGAATACTATAGTAGTTTCCATGTTGTTCTCCATTATCCCCGCAATCATAACCCCTATGTACTACAATAGTTTCCATTTTCTTTTCCATTATGTGAGAGAGAAGAATCCTGTAGAACCAGTAGCTGGCAGCCTGAAGGATCGATCATGATGCCACACTTATGAGTTGAAGACCTCGCTTGTAACCGTTAATGAAGTGCCTGAATTATCATGTCTTATGTATGTAGGTCCGCCAACTTACGTCTGCGACGCATCTCCTTTCCAGAGCTTCTTTAGAACAGCCAGCATTCTGTGGGAAAAGGTACAAGCACAAACTATTGCATACTGTCCCAAGGCCTCCTGTAGCCTCTAAGGGCTTACAGTTGAGGGTATAGGAGTTTTGATTCCCCTGTCTCTTTGTAAACAGTCCGACCCTAAACCCTAAACCCTAAACCCTAAGCAACTCATCCTCAAGGCTGTTCTCCATCCTGGGTACCATGGGGATGTTCAATTCACACTCAAACTCCTAAAGGCCCACCCCGAAATCCTAAATCCTTGGCATACACCATCTCTGACATGCCTTGTTTTGGGGTCCATCTTGCACGCCAAAGCCATCAGATCGAGAGATTATAGGAAAACCCACCTGGAAGTTTTGGTGACACCAAGATCGACCCCAAGATATTGTAATCCTCATTTTGGGGGACCCCCAATAAAGTACCCGCCCACCGCCCCAAATGATCTGGTTGTCTTTAGTTAGAAGGGGTAATTCTTGTGGTGCCTCTCTTGGGCTTCCAGGTTGCAGGTTAGTTAGGGGAACATGACCCCTGTATGACCCCTACATACTTCCTACAGCCCTTTCAAAGGGACCTCGAGAATATCCAAACCCTAAACCCCAAACCTTAAACCCTAGACCCTCTGAAACCTAGACCCTAAACCCCAAACCTTAAACTTTTAAAAAAACCTTAAACTTAAACCCTACACCCCAAACATTAATCCTGATAAAGTTTTCAGATAGAGGGGCTTGAAATCTAGGAGTTTGTCCATCGAGGTTTCACCTCCCAGCGGTGGCGCCCAAGGACACCTTGTTTTTAACAATAAAATTGATAGCAATAGTAGTAATAATAGTAGTAATAATTGTAGCTTTGTAAACAATGAAACTAATAACAGTCGTAGTAATAAGAGTAAGAAAATAAGACATAGTAGTAGTACGGCTAGTAATAGTACAGTAAGAATAGCAATGATAATCATTTTGTTTAATTTGCTTTTTTCAAATCCAGACTGCAAGTACGGTCTTTCTGGGGTTGTTGGCATTTTGCAGGTATTCTTATGGGAACATAATGCAGGAATCCAACTCCTGGTTTCCCTACGAACAGTGCTGGAATACGGTTTGGCATGTGTTCATGCTGCTAATGAAGCACATCTTGCACAACGGGGTTCCTGACCAGCCTCTACTCCGTAGGCAATACGCCTGAGAACAGTCATAACAAGGGGAAAAGGCATAGTGACAGTACTAGTGGCAACATGTTGAGGATCAGACAAGCCCAGAAGCTTTCATTGGTAGCAAATGTATCCATTAGTGGCACCCAAGCAAGAAAGTTTGCTGCTGTAGCGTCATGTCAAGACGAGTTGATGCAGTGATGTTGTGATGCGCTCGATAGGCTTAGTAATGCTTTGGGATCGCAACTACAACCCTCCCAAGCACGTTCCACTTTCATGCCCCTCCCATGAATCACAACGCCTCCACTTCTTTATCCCCCACGGTTTGCGCGCCTTCTTGCTCGAGGACTGTTTCCTGAGTCCAGCACTGATGGTGGTTGACCTGGGGAGATGGCAGTTGGCGCCTAAGTTGATCAAATCATGTATATTACTCCCTTTGGCAGAGTGACTGCCTGTTTCTGGGCAGCTTCCGTTTCCTTGTGCAACTGCTCAACACCAAAATGAGCACCCGTCCATACCGGCTAGGAGGGGCCATAGCCATATGCCCCTGCCTTCCGCAGAACACCATATGAATGAGCATCAGTCAGCAAGGGCAGACTGGTCAGGGTTTACATGGAGGAGGATTGTATTATGACCCACTGAGGTGTACCGCGAATCCAATATTATCACTTCCTGTCAATACCCCGTTGGTGGAGCTCATGCTAAGGCCAGCGGACGCACTGTAAAACAAAAAGCATATACAAAAGAGATGTAGGGTTTTACTGCCACCGCATGCTTCCCCCAACCATTGCAAAACGACAAGGAAAGCAAAAGGGCGAGGTAAAGGACAAGATAACCCCAATGTAACCCTAAGATTACCCCAAGACTACCATTATAGGGACCCCCCAAAAAAGTACCCGTAAACAGAGTCAGACATCCTGTTTGGGTTTTGACACGAACCCAACTGGGCCCACCTGCAATCCTCTGGCATGGTTCTTCTTGGTTTATACCTACATTTGTTACATTGGAGCATAGCTACCCTGCACGTCCAAGCAGGGTTAGGAACCGGGCTACGTTTGAGCAGCATTTTCATGGCGCCTTCCTATCACCTAAGTCACGGGGGGAGTTACCATGAGGGGAATTTCCAGAAGCTGTACATACACCTCCACATATCCATGCATAGCCCTGAAACCCCCGAACATATAGCTGAAAACGGGACCCTTTGCAGACAGCTGTTGTTTGAAGTTGATGGAGTTTGAGTTGCATCTTTGCTTGCAGGAGGTTGGTGACTCCTCAGACCGCCTAACGGATCCAGGAAATCGATCCGCCAAAATAACCTGTCAGTGAAGATGTTGAGATCTAGCAAGCGCTCGGGGTTCTTCACTGGGTCATAGCTGAAAATTGCAATTCGTAATTTCTTCAAACCAAAGGACCAAAGAGAAGGTTGAATAGCAATCGTAAACCTAGAAGGAAAATGAGTTTCTATTCCGAATTGCGCTAAGAATATACAATACAAACTTGAGTGTTATCCAAATCAAACGTGTTGAGGTCGGAGAATATTTCTGGCAAGATCCTCACATGGCTTCAGCGTTATCGTGACCAGCCCCTGGAGGAGGAGTTTTAGTACTCTGGATGAGGTTTATGGATGTGGGTCGCTTTGAGGTGTTAATGGGGTTTCGGGATAATGCGGTTTGAGGAACGTATACGACGATTTGGTGATTAGAGCATGGCGATCCGTGACTAGAATTTAGGGATTAGAGTTTTGGGGCTAGGATTTCGTTTGAGTTTGGTTTTTTAATTAGGTTTCTGGTTCAGGCCTTGCGGTTAGGGAGTAGCAATTCGGGATCAGGGTTTCTGGATTAGGACATAGCTGCGCGAGCTACCTTGGCTTCATCCGGTCGTAACAGGGACTCAGATTTCCTCATACTGGCTTGCGCTGAGGGATCGCTGGGACATATGAGCTGTAGTCTACACTCCTTAAGGGGGTTATATGAGGATTACATAGAGAAATATAAAAGGAGTTATCATAGGGATACCAGGAACTCAGACTATAGTTCTATATTGAGATCACAGAGGAACATGAGGAAATTCTTGCGTATGTTTGTTTGAGTAATTCTCAGATGGGTCTTTGTCCAAGTCAGCATCTCATTGGTGAGCAACAGGGTCTGGAAGAAAGGCTCAGGAATTGGAGGTCGGAGCGCTTTGGAATTCACGGTCCCGGATTTGGTAGGTAAAGCTTAGGACTGGGGGTGTCGGAAATGGATACTTCCATGTTTGGCAGGTTAGGGCAAGCACAGGAGAGCGGTTTACGGATATGGGCCTGGAGATGTGCACAGAACCCTACCCTTTCATAGGCTAATCTATATCTTCATGCAGGCGCCTCTGCAAAGGGTTGTGGTCCCTATGAAGACCTTTCCGAGTTCCTTGTTAGTTTGCGGGAGTGCAAGCCCAGCGCCCCTTCGTGGATGTTTGACAGGATCTTTGGGTGAAGAGCTTGATCATGCCGCCTTGGCTGCTGTCCCTGGACAGACAAGTGGGGGGTTCACCACGTGATGGCTGCGTTGCGGAGTAGTCGATTGTTTGGGCATGTTGGGGACATTCCGGGACCATATAGAAGCATACGGCATGTTGGTTGTGAGGAAGCACGACATTCAGCACATACCTCTGAACTCTGGGGATTCTAGCAAACTACTGCCTTCACGGGGCTGCGGCACTTAGCATTGCAACTGCGCTGATGGCAAACATTCTGCAATGTAAGGCTTATCGGCACTGCAGCTCCCCTGCAGCATCGAAGCAAGACACTGCCTTGTACCACGTACGTACGAGGGGACTGTGCACCCCCCTTATGGGAAATGTGCGGCAGCCAGTGAGCTAGCCCTCAATCCCTAGTCGGAGTCGCCCATACTGTACTCGAAAGCGCTGAAAAAGTTCTTACTTCCTGCGAAGGCCCCAAGAATCCCAACACGAGAGCTTTTCGCAGCCGCAGATACTTGCTAGCCAGGCTGCAGCGAAAGCCCTGCAGAAACCTGGGTGGTGGTAAGCTGGGGACCGAAACATTTGCTAATATGGTCCTAGATCTCTTGTATGGGTACGGTATTAGACACTTGAAACAAACTTCAAAAAATGTGGGGTTTAGGGATTGGGGTTTCCCAAAACTAAGCGTACCTTTTGGAGGTACCCACGATCAGGATAAGAGTATTTTGGGATCTTTTTCGGGTCAGTTTATTTATGGAGACTGTCACATGCACTTCAGGATGATCCTGCTATGAACCGTTGTTTAGGTTTCAGGGAGTATATGAGAAGTTTGTACTGTGGACCCTTACTCTAAGGGTCCAAGTGCCCAATACGATATGATAGTCCCTCAAACCTGTCCTATGATCTCTAGTGCCAAAGTCCTGAAAACCTGATTATTGATTATTGGGTACATGGACCCTTAAGTTAAGGTTAGGGTGGAAGTCCGCAGGAAAGATTCGCTGAGTTGGACCCTGCGTGGGGCTGCGTCGACTTGGGGTCAGAGGACTTCTCAGCAGATTTCAGAAATACCTTTCGGGTTAAGGGCCAAGGGCTTAGGGTTTAGGGTCAACCTACTTTGATGACTAGTAGTATTAAGTAGTATTACTATTGCAACTATTATGCCTATTACTCTATTGTTATTCGTAGTACTATTACTATCATTAATATTTTTCATATTAAAACACCGCCCACCATCAATTAGCATGAAGGGGTGTTTTTGTGGTGGGGGGGGGGGGG